AAAGAACAACCATAACATATCTTTTATACAGTTTAAGGAAGACTTTATAACTGAAGAGTCCATAACTATAGCGGTTATAGTTCCATCCCCAATATAAGTAGTTGAACCATTTTAGAACAATCTGACTTCTTACTTGATGTCCTCCGGGCTTAGCTCATTGGTGGAGAGTGATCTGCTGATGCTTTAAGCCAAATGACCTTGCTTTGTACTGCAGTACTTAGAACAGAATTTCCTTCCAGCTTTCCTGGCTGCTGAGTGGAGGTGGGGATCAGTGCCAGACAACCCGAATGTAAAACAGTTTTAGCACTTAGTATGGGAGGTTGCACTCCTTGCACCATACCCATTACAGCATGCTTTAGTGGTTATGGTGTTTGGAGGGGTCCTTTAGGAAACATTGTTTGTTTGTTTTTTTAATATATATAAATATATTTACATTAGATAACTATTTTTACAGTTAGAAACAAGTTGTGCTTGTCATTTGTCCTATTGCTTATTTGAAAGATTAAATAAATGATTTATGACCAAGACAGTCAATCTGATACAGATGTCCCAATTGTCTAGGATTCCAAAGATTTAGAGCATTGTCCTGTTAAATGCTCAGATAAATGTGAGTCTTTTATGAGAGCTTTTACATGGCACATAGATAAATATTGTTCATCAACAGTAAATATTTTTATTAACTGATATATTCCATTTCTTGTTAATTTCATATTTTAATGTTTTCTTAGCAGTTAGTGTATTTGATATTTAATTAAGGAGCATGTTAATGCAGAGAAATAAATCCAATTCCCTCTCTTTCATTATTCATTATAGTCATATTACGAAGACTGAAATAGTATGGTCCAACCTTTTTTTTTTTTTTTAGCAGTTTATCTTTTATTATACAATTTGAATAGACACTCACATCTAAGAAGAATAGAACATTTCATTCTTTGTTTATGTATCAAAGTAAAAAAAAAAAAATAGCCAGTATAATCGTGAAATGGGTTATCTTTAGGGAATACGGAATGTCTCATGAGATAAAAAAAAAAAAAAATGATCATTATTTTAAAAATGTATTGTTTTCTCCACTGTCTACAATTTTTCACAACCACAGAATTTTACCATACACTTTTCTGTCGGGGATTATATTCTTCATTTTTTTTTAGTAATTTCATCCAGAAAGTAGTATATAACAGGTAAAATGTTTGAGTAAATCAAAGAAGGTAACATCTGGTTCAGGAACAAAGTGTTTGAAGGTGAATTTCCCATTTTAAACAGAAAAGAATAAATCTGTCAATGCAGCAATATTGCAATAACGTATTTTTTAATGGGATAATAGGAATTCCAGGTAGAACCAGGGAGCGCAGGTTGCAAACCATCACCGACACAGAATGATAACAAGGACGTGAAAATTGAGCGAGGGAACAAGATTAGGGTAGATTTTGTTAACAGAAAATAAATATTTATATTTTCTCATGATCTGAATGTTGGAACTATCTAATTCAATTGTGCTCATTTTATCAGTTTCTGAACAAGGAATTAAGAAGTTGTAATACCAAAAAAATAATAACAATAATAATAATAATGAAAAAAATATTTGAAAAAGGAAAAATGTTATAAAATCCTTGAGCAGCTAATACACACTGCTAAACTTTGTGAATTAAAATAATATTTTTGCTTCTTTTAAATACATTTATTGTAATACATTTTCAGACAGTACTGCTTTAAGAATACTAAAACATTGTGTTAAGCAGTCATGGTAGTTTTCGATGATCCTGGTTTGTGTTTGAGGCACTGACCTAACACAGGTTTTGGATCCCACGTTTACTATGGGTGATTAGATGGGTGGCACATGTGACATTATAATTGGCAAAACGTGTATTACGCACCTGGCTGCCATATTTGTAATGTCCCAAGTAACGAAAGAAAATTAAGAAATAAGTCTTAGAAGGTTCAGAACACTGGAGAAAAGAAGGGCACTGGGTACCTTTGGTGAACTTGTTGTGTACAAAACATCCAGAAATCAAGGTCAACCTTGGGTATAAAGATATATACTGAAATGGAATTAATAGATTACAAAATAAACATACAGGAACCTAAATCCCACTTTCTTTAAAATGTCTTCCAAAGCATCGATGACATATTTATAGCCTTTAGTGCTTTGCGTTAGGCACAGAGGGTAAAGGCTAAAAATATACAGGAATAACATTGTATCCATACATTTGAAAGCACAATCTTTAGATGAAATGTTATACTCTGTAAAATGAGAGACTATTAGAAAATATTATGAGAGTCATGTCATTCACTGATAAAATCCAAGTGATATAATAAAAAACAGAATGTACCAAAATTCATGCTTCAGTTCTGCTTTTAAAACTGAAGAATGGATTTTGATGACCAGGAGCTGATCGATGACCTTTTAGGACTCGTCAGTATGGAAAGAGGAACAATATCTCCCCAGACATACCAGCTCTAAAACATTATTTCCAGCCTCCCAGAAAACGAAACCAAATATCAAATCAAGCATAAAGCATTCACCTGTTCAAATTTCCAACCTGGATCCCTGCTCGCACCCTTTATGATATGTTTTTTCTTTAACACAATGTCCTCACTAGGATTGAACACATGCTCATTGAGACATGTACAGATGTGTACCTTTGTGAATCGTCACCATAGATTTGGGTTAAAGTTTTAAGTCTCTCTGACCGCAGCAAATTAATTGACAAAGTCATTATCTGAGCAATGTACGTAATTGGCCAGGGTGATTTATTTTTCTTTAACTTGCAATCCTTTGCTTGAGTCTAGAATGTAGCACTGCCTAAGCTTGATGATACTAGTGACACTATAATTATAATCAAGACAAGCAGAGGAAGTGACCGTCTAGTGGGCAGAAACCACTTTTCTGCCTCCACGGGGCAAAGGCCAGCAATCCAAGACATCGCAGACTTTATCACCTACACATTTGATAAAGTTAAATTTGCAATATCTCTTGACAGTACCTTACAGTATATTCTCTCTTGGAACGGTATCTGATTCTGGAGGAAGAAAGATATCTCCAAGAGACATCACACATAACGTTCTTCTTAAACATTTTCAGACATCATATTCAATCTGTCAGATAAGATTTCTTCATCATCCAATGTCCTTTTCACCCATAGCACTTAGCATCTGGATACATGGAATCTATTTATTTCTGATTAAATGGATTGAAACAATTGAAGTTATTTAAACTATTACAATCTGTGAGCTTGGAAAACAGAGCAGCGGGCAATCCTTGCTTTCTATAATAAAAAAAAAAAAAAAATGGTATCTTTTTAGGAACGTTCTAAATGGTGAATGTACTCTTTCAGGTACATACACCTCAAACAATTAACCAAATACTGTAATCAGCTACTGGACACTACTGCCACAAACATTAAGAACAGGTGCCCTATAAAGCGAGGTAAACGGACAGTCACTTTTTTGTGGGTCTGTCTTCTGATGTTGTTTATCCATGGAAAGTTATCAGGTCTCCACCTTAGTCCACAGGAGCACTTAGGTCAGAGCGCCACTCGTTTGCAGTAATTTAGAAACACTAATATTCTTTTTCTGGAAGGGAGAGTGGTAAGCCAAAATATATGAAGAAAACAATGTGTTTCTTTAATTCTGTAATAGATTTCAGTTTGCACAGTCTCCCTCCCACCTAATTCTCATTGTTTGGAGAATTTACTTGAGAGCATTTAGGCTTGTCAAAAAACAGGGCAGGTTTTAAATCTGACCAGTTTCAGCAGGTTTTGCACATGCCTGGTCTCCTTTAAAAAGGAATTTCTGGAATTTCCATAGAGTTGACATTCTGGGACAAGAGTCATTTTCCCATGAGAGGAGGCAGTCTTTTGGTCTTTCTATTAAAGGCTCATAGCACCAAGGTGTGAGGATACAGAGACCATAGGAGAGAGAAGCAAGAAACCCTCTTGAAAGCAGCACATCACAATACTGTGCTTCCTGCCATTAATAGTTTTAATAATTTATATTGCACTTATCAACCATCTTCTTCAAAGTGGCCATTAAAAAAAACTGCATGACTGGGGCTGTGACTCTGAGGACTGATCTGTATCTGATTTCAATCTGTTTGAATCTATAATGATTGTTGCTTCTGGTAACCATGTCAGTTACTTATTGTTTCATATTACCACTGCAGATTAATGATATTGCTGCAAATGTAATAAGGAGTCTATCAGTATCCTACTGCTTTACCCTGTGCACATTGTGTGCTGAGAGCTAATAGTTTGTCAGGAGTGACGGACATGTTTTATTTAATAGAAAGCTAAAGCATTTTAGAGACAATGTGTGGGAATTTTACACAGACAGTATTGTGTGGTTATCTCTGTATTGCAGCTCTGTGTAATCCATCACCGTGGTCCTGGCTGTGTGGGATAGTTATGGTATCTCCTTATTGTGTCCAGCTCTGTATTTATATTGTATATATATATTTCTCTGTATTTTCATTCAGCTCTCCGTATTGTTAGTCTGCTCAGCTGTGTGTATTATACCGTTATTGTTTTCTCAGCTCTATTTGTGGTATGGTTATTTCTGTATTGTACTCAGCTCTATGTATTTCATAAATACATTTATGTTGTGCCCCACTTGTTTTACTGTATTATAATCAGATCTCTGTATTGTATGAGTATCTGTGTACTGTACAAGGAGGAGAAAAATTAAAGGGGAGGAACCTGGGACCCCTCAGGGTGCTGGACTGCTGGGGGCTCCCACCTGGATATTTCCTGGTGGGCTCCACCGGTCCTGAGCCGCAGCGCTGGGTGAGCGACTCTAGTGCTGTCTCCCCCCCTTCTCAGTGCCGGGCCATACCCTGATGGCAGGGCCTTACTCTGATGGAAGGTGCCTGCTCTGCCAATGAATGCCGGCGGAGGAGAGGAGGCAGTCAGGCGGCGAGAGAGGCCCCTTTTGAAGCTTCCCACTTTTCCCCTGTGCGCCCTCTGTGGTGCCGGAAGCCAGAATATGACGTCATTCTGGCCCCAGCACACTAAACAGCGTTCTGGAGGAGGCAGGAGCTGCCCCACACTGGACGCCAGGGAGGTAAGGAAGCTGGATGTCTGAATCTGTGAGTGTATGAGTGTTTAACTGTCAGGTAGTGTTTTTGTCTGTCAGTGAGTGAGTGAGTGAGTGAGTGTATGTCAGTGAGTGTCTGCCTGTGTGTGTGTTTGTCAGTGAGTGTGTGTCTGCCTGTGTGTGTGTTTGCGAGTGAGTGAATGTATGTCAGTGAGTGTTTGTCTGTGTGTGTCTGTCCATGAGTGTCTGTCTGTGTGTGTCTGTCAGTGAATGTGTGTCTGCCTGTGTGTGTGTCTGTCAGTGAGTGTCTGCCTGTGTGTGTCTGTCAGTGAGTGTATGTATGCCAGTGAGTGTCTGCCTGTGTGTCTGTCAGTGAGTGTGTGTGTTTGTCTGTCAGTGTGTGTGTGTCTGCCAGTGAGTGAGTGTATGTATGTCAGTGAGTGTCTGTGTGTGTCTGTCAGTGAGCATCTGCCTGTGTGTGTGCCTGTCAGTGAGTGAGTGTATGTATGTCAGTGAGTGTGTGTGTTTGACTGTCAGTGAGTTTCTGCCTGTGTGTGTGCCTGTGAGTGTATGTCTGTCAGTGAGTGAGTGTATGTATGTCAGTGAGTATCTGTGCGTGTGTGTGTCTGTCAGTGAGTGAGTTTCTGTGTGTGTCTGCTAGTGTGTGTCTGTCAGTGATAGAGTGACATAAGGAGGCGGCAAAATGGATCTTTGCCTAGGGCGGCAGAAATCCTTGCACTGGCCCCGACCAATTGTCTTCTTTTATTGAAGACTTACATTCAAAAAGACCTAAACATTTCAATCCTATAATGTATGAGAACTTTGACATATTAATAGCTGATATAGTTGTCATAGTGATGGTTATATCTGTTTAAAATAACTCAGAATATCCATTTTATACCATTCTCTACATCTAAAAGAATGTCTCTGCTAACCATTCGAGCAATCTGATCACTACCCCCTTTGCATGCCCTGTCTGTGACATTTAAATGTCCAGCTCATGGTACACAATGTATTCATGCTATATTTCTTTTATTTCACAGACAGCCCAGAGTACTTTCTCCAGTGCCATATTTATAGCCTGGTCTTTTTTTAACATTCTTCTGGCTGGAGAACAAAGACTCATTAATCAAAACCAAGACCACATGTATACAGTAGAACAGTGTATTAATTCTGAGATGTAGGAGGCTATACTCTTGGTTAGAAGGTCTGTCTCACTAGCAGAGGAGAGACTAACTAGACAAATCTTTGCTGAATTCCTATATTTAACTCTGTCGGGATTATCCACTAAAGTGAGACTCCTGGGAATTAGAAGAGGATTTCAGATTTTTTTTTTTTAAAGTAGCCAAATTAGTCAATTCTGTTTTCACTTTGGCTATTTTGACCTTGGATTAGAAATACACTTGAAATTCCCGCCAGTTCTCAGTTCATTGAATACCCTGTACGTTTGTCCTCATTATACGATCATTACGTTTTGCAGATTCCACCACACAGTAAACCAGAAGCTCCCAATCATGCAATGTGGCTGCACTGAACCACTTTTTAAAGCCAGAAGATTGGAAACTAATTTTATCATTATCATTGGCACAGCGTTGCACACGCCCCAAAGCCACAAAAATTCCACAATTCATTTTTTTCCAGCTTGAGGATTTTGGTTTATAATTTCCCTGTGAATAAATTTACAGGGTCAATAGTCCCAGTACCAAATGGGTACATGGTTCACAGTATTTAATAGTTCACAGTGATTGATAATGTCCAGATTTTTAAATGTGGCTCAAATGAGCAAGAGTTGTGTCTGGATTCCAGCCTGTCTGAACGCTGGGCCAGGATTTTAAATGTCAGATTTATTTTACTACTGTTGGTTTTAGCAGCCAGTGGGCAAATACCATATTTAAAACTGGATAAAGGGGGCGGAGCCAAGCAACCAAGCGGCCCAGACATGCCAGACAAGAGCTCCCATGCCTGGGAACGAAAAACAGGGCATCTTAACCAGCCATTGAGACCCACTAGCTGCAGACCATGACAATCATGGCCGGGAGGGGCTACCGCACTAACCGGTGCCTCTCTCGAACCCTAACTCAGCCTAACGCATATGCCGAGGCTTGCGGCCTACCAGACACTGAGCCACGGAGAGACGGCCGCTCTCCGGGCACAACAACGGTGACTGGGATCCCGACAAATCACCTCCCCCCCAGGACCGGTGTGAATTTACCTGTTTGGATTTGCCTGAAAATTTAGATTTTTGCCCCGAATGTAATGCGCATTTAGAATATGTTTTTTTTATTTATTACATAAAATGTAAGAATTAAATATATATGGGGTTCTGTCCCAACCTATAGTCAATAGGTGGGGGATCTAAAGTAATACATGAGGGAGATACCAGTATATGGCTGACAGTCATGGGCCATGGGTGTGGGCGCTAACATACATGGGTAGACATGCTAGAGCCCCACTGCAGCCCCCCACATGGGTTGTGGCTATAATATACATGGGGTTGGGTGGCAATAATTAAAAATAGGAAAAATGTCCCAATTCACAAAAAAGGGACAAAAACAGGAATTGTTATATTGGTTATGTGTATACATACTACTAGTAACTTATGTGGGATTTTTGGGGCAGATCAGAGTAAAAGGACTTGTGGAAAACATGGCTGCAAAGTGTGCCAGAAAACTTTGTTTAAAATGTTGGCAAATATTCCATCAACGTTAATCTAAATGGTATAGTGATTCCTGAATGCATTAATCTAATTATATATAAAACACATCTAAGGCTTAATTATTAATAATAGAAACATTAAGTAGCATTCATCCTTCTATACTAACTATGGGGGATTACAACACCCATCAATCCAGCCAATTCCTGGTGCCTTCATTGGAGAGAAATAAAACAATTTCCTTTTTCTGAAGTCAGGACTCAGGTCGTCCCTTTCTCAGTTCCAGCCGTGCCATGCGAAAATCGAAACACCTACAGGTCTGGCCCTAATTACGTTGTAAATAATGGAAATCATACAAAACGAATTTCCTAGTAGACAATGCAGGAGACAGGCAGCTGCTTTCTCAGTACGTATTTCATAAGCGCTGGGAAAAATCAAAGCAAAAGCTTTGAGGGCTTCATATGCTTCCCATTTCCATCAGTGCGGGTCCCTGGGATAGAGGGACACTGTGCAGACATGGTACTTCTGGCTGATAGCGTCTGACCTGGCATTACCTGACAGTGCCGGCAAATCATCAGTCAACTGAAGACAACCCAAGAATCATGGTTCTTTCCCTGCAATCCTAAAAGGGATCAGGGGAAATCTTATAGTAGGTCGACCACTCGCATTATATATGGAATATGTGGGTGGTTTCCATGATTCTAACGCCGGTATCAACTAATGTGAGAATTCCCAGGAAGTCAACGTGCATTTCAAAATTTAGTCAAAAATGGGTGAATTAGACAGATTCTCTGGGTTTAGTTTGACTATTTATCTACATTAGAAATTCACTTTGAATTTTTGGCAATTCTCTCTTTGAAAAATAACCCTGTGAGTGCTTGAGAGCTTGCAGCCATGTTTGTGCAAAAAGATCCTACTAAACTGACCAAATTTCGTGGAGGGTAGTGGATGCATGGAATAGCCTTCCAGCTTCCAGCTGAAGTGGTAGAGGTTAACACAGTAAAGGAGTTTAAGCATGCGTGGGATAGGCATAAGGCTATCCTAACTATAAGATAAGGCCAGGGACTAATTAAATTATTTAGAAAATTGGGCAGACTAGATGGGCCAAATGGTTCTTATCTGCCGTCACATTCTGTTTCTATGTTAATTTAGAAAAATGTTCCTATAACACAAGGGGGCTACCTGTATAATCTTCCCATCTCACACTCTGATTTCGTCACTCACAATGCCTGTTTATCATCTTTATGTTGAATGGAGAAGACATCCAGATAAGGTGGGGAAGAGATCATGAGAATTAGAAGACAAAAGAGGGGACAGAGGCTGCTTTACGACTAAAGATATTAACTTAGGTCCTATAATAAAATCAAACGCCCACTCTCCATGTATGGAAATACAAAGAACATATTGTTGGAGTGTTAAGTTACCTAACACTATCCACATCAGAAGATCAGAGCTACAATTTATACCTATCATACAAGTGTGGACTGCAAATTTAAAGCAGCTCTGTCACCAAAAATAAACATGATTTAATCCATGTCTATGTAGCTCCCTGTGTCAGAATCTCGATTTATTTGTTCCCCAAGTGCTCTAGTTTATATAAGAATACATACAGGGTTATTAACTAACGTGTGCACATGGTCTGCGACAATCTCTAGATAGATGGTTCATGAATACCTGGACCGAAGGTTTTCCAGCAGAACAGTCATGTTCCCATAGTACACTCTGCTGCCATCTCTTCTGCAGGTAAAAGACACCCACCCACCCACCTGATCTAAAAGAAAACGGGATTCAACAGATCAGGCAACCTTCTTCCATTGCTCCATGGTCCACTTCTGATGCTCATGTCTACATTGAAGGCGACATGGGTCATCATGGGCAATTTGACTTGTCTGCGGCTACAAAGCCACATACACAAAAAACTGTGATGCACTGTGTTTTCTGACTGCTTTCTATCATGTCCAGCATTAACTTTTACATCAATTTGAGCTACGCTAGCTCTTATGTGTGATTAGACCAGATGGGCTAGCCTTGGCTCCCTGCGTACATCATTGAGCACCCATGACCCTGATACCAGTTCACCAGTTGTCCTTCCTTGCACCACCATTGATAGGCACTAACCACTGCATACCGGGAAACCCCACAAGACTTGCTGTTTTGGAGATACTCTGATCCAGTTGTCTAGCCTCCACTGTTTGGCCCTTGTTTAAGTCACTCAGATCTTTTTGCTTGCACATTATTTACTGCTTCAAACGCATGAATTTCATGAACAGAATTTTCACTTGCTGCCTAATATATCCCACCCCTTGGCAGGTGCCATTGTAATGATATAATTAATGCTATTCACTACACCTGTCAATGGTTTTAATGTTGTGGCTGATCAATGTAATTGCATGTACACTAACGTGGCATTGTAGTGTCCACCAAATTGGTTATTGAATGTACAATATTATCTACAATCCCTACAGGGCCCGTGGAGAGTTGGAGTGTTAACTAGCACTTTAAAGGATGATAGCATATATAGAATGTATCAGTTGAAACAATCGAACAAACATATACATTATAAAAGGAATCTGTTGTCCTATTACAGCTTCATCTTTGTCTAGAAGCTGCTGCCAAATTGAATATTGAAATCTAAGATACAGCAATGGTTTACAACAAATTAAAATGTTAAAACCTATTTTAGAACACATCCCTAAACATATCTTGCTACTTATTGTTTCACTAGTATTTTAAACACGGTATTTGATCTGCAGTGTTGCTGATATTTATTAACGAACTACGTCAGAATTCTGAGACAGGCGCTATAGATATGAAAGCCTCCGCGCCATGACAAACACTCCAACAGATTCCTATAGCAGTTGGGTTCATCGTT